GCGGAACCAGAGTATCTCAGAGGTGTACATAGTCAATCTCAGGAAAGTCCTAAGAAGACATCAATGTACCAGAAGTCAATACAGAATTTATATCAGAACCAGTCATATCATATCATGTCATATCAGATCATTTCATATCATATCATATCATTTCATATCATATCATATCATCAAAAATAACTCTATATGAATGCACCTATACAGAGTATCAATACAGTCATAGAGTCCAACCATAGTCCACTAACTATGGTGGAGCACTCAAGCAGGAAAAGACTCCTTAAACATAGAGCTTACCTCTTGAAGCTTTACCAATACGCTTACTTGTGGAACAAGTTACTTTTATCGCTTCAAGAGATTTCCGATCCTTCTCAATCCCTAGGCACACCTAGAGAATAATTTACAATGCATCAATAAAATGATACTATGCCATGATTATTTCATAAGCATACATTTTATCGCTTATTTTCCTTTCTTTATATTTTTGCCAATTCTATGCCAATACACAAGTCTAGACCTCTATATACCCGTTGACGTTCTTTAATTTAATCAAGCATTTCCTTAAGAATTTTCCACATAAATCACGCTATTTTCTTTAAAGTCGCGGGCATACCCTTAGGGACTCAAGGTATTCTTCAACCATTTTTCCTGTCATTTCACTTCTTAACTCATCCATGGGTACATTAAAATGCAACACATTTTATTAGAATAAAATGTAACCAATATATATATACCCCTAAACATCCTATAGTTCGAAACATAGAGCAAGTATTTGTAGGATTTTTTTTCCAACTTTGGCATTTCCACCAATTCATCCATTTACACTACATTCCAACATATTTTACCTTTTCAAACATACAATAAAAATTTGCATGATGAACCCTATATAACCCATGAAGGCCGAAACCTAGGGGAAAGGTGCACTAGGGCTTTTCAATTTTTTTATCACAAGTTGATGCTTACTAAACACTATCCTTCCTAACCAACAACAATCCATCATAATTTTCACCTTCTAACATCAAATATTTCCCACTCAAAACATGCTCCAAATTTTCAAAACATAGATCACAAAATAATACCATAGAAATAGAGGTTTCTTACCTCTAATCACTTGTACAAAGCCTAGAGAATAACCTCCAAGCAAAGCTCCATCAAAAACCCACTTTTTCTCCTCCAATGAATAGTAATCCGAAAATAAGAGGAGGAATAACTCTTCACACACTCAACTATAGCTCAAATGGATAGGTGCAATGGATTCCTTGAGTGGTTCCTAATCAATTTCAAGTGGTGGGTCATAAGATTTGGTTGAGAATTCAAGAAGAAATCAACAAAACAAGCAAAACCCTAACCCCCCCCCCCCCCCCTTTTCCATGGCTGAAGCTCGGCCCTTCAAGAGAGAGAAGAAGAAATTTTTGCAATGAATAGTGATTCATTTAAGTGGCCAAGCTATTTAGGCACATGTGGCCCTTTTGTCGGATGTTTTTCTATCGCGTATTTCACTTAAATTTACCCGAAACTTAACTTAAAGCTACGGATATATTTTTATTTTTCTAAAGTTATTTACATTAATTTTTATTTCCTAAGGAACAATATTCATAATTCACGGTATGGTTTCTGCACCGTTTTTAACGAAATGCACTGTGAACCACTAACTGTCAGTCTTTTACTTACGAAACTCAAAACTTATAAACTTATCATCATTGGGCCTATTTTGACTTGTATAGCATACATTGGACTTTCTTACTCTTATTCCATCATTTATTTATTTTCTGGACTCTACCGGTTGCTCAACAGCAGTACAAAATACCCGGTAGAAACACTATTCACGAGATTTTCACGGAAAGTGCCAGACTATACAATTTTTCATTCTGAACTCATATTTGTCGTCAGAATTGTCAAATTATGTCTCTCAAATCATTTTGCTTATTTAAGCTCTACCAGGTTAATTCACAAGATTGCGAATTCTCCGACAGAACGCACTGTTCATAACATAGTCATGATTACAGTCAAAATACTCGGAATCACTCACTGAACCTAATTATGGCATTTAAATCCTTAAATTAAATCTCTAATTAAGATTTACCATTTTGGGTCATTATATTCACCCCACCTTTTAAGGATTTTGCCCACAAAATCAAATATCAAATATAACATATACCTGACGTCAAACTCAGGGTACTGCTGGAGAATCTCATTCTCCCGCTCCCAAGTAGCGTCCTCAGGAGTTAATCCTTCCCATTGTACCTTGATCATGGGAATAGTCCTGTTCCTCAACACTTTTTCATCACGTGCTAGAACCTTCAACGGTCCCACAACAAACTTCAAGTCTTTTCTTACTTCGATATTGTCCGGCTGTACAATGTGGGATGCATCCGGCACGTATTTTCGAAGTTGACTGATGTGAAAAACACTATGCAAATTTGACAGATGTGGAGGTAAGGCAAGCTGGTAAGCCACAGGTCCGACCCTCTTGATAATCTGGTAGGGCCCAATGAACCTAGTACTCAACTTCCTCACTCCAAGAGCACGCCCAACACCCGTAGTCGGAGACAAACGGATAAACACATGATCCCTTCTGAAAATTCAAGGGGTCGATGCTTTGCATCATAATAACTCTTTTGGCGACTCTGTGCTTTCTTCAATCGATCCTTAATCATCATAATTTGATCGGTAGTCTCTTGGACCATATCAGGCCCAAATAAATGCCTCTCACCAATTTCTGACCAACAAGTAGGCGCCCTGCACCTACGGCCATACAAAGCTTCATAGGGAGCCATGCCCAAACTGGCATGATAACTATTATTGTAGGAAAATTCCACCAACGGAAGATACTTATCCCATGCATTTCCCTGCTCTAAGGCACAAGCCCTCAACATGTCCTCCAGGGTTTGAATAGTCCTCTCAGTCTGACCATCAGTTTGGGGATGATAAGCTGTACTCAGCCTCAGCTGTGTACCGAATGCCTGCTGCACTGCATCCCAAAGTCGAGAAGTAAATTTAGGGTCCCGATCACTAATGATACTTTCAGGAACACCATGAAGTTTCACAATCTCTCTTACATATATCCGAGCCAACTGCTCTGTGGAGAAACTCGTTTTAACTGGTATGAAATGTACAAACTTTGTCAATCTGTCAACAACTACCCAGATAGAATCAAAACCAGCCTGAGTTCTCGGTAATGCCACCACAAAATCCATAGAAATACTGACCCATTTCCATTCCGGAATATCCAAGGGCTGTAGTAATCCAGAAGGTCTCTGATGCTCAATCTTAACCTTCTGACATGTCAAACACTTACTAACAAACAGAGCAATGTCTTTCTTCATTCCCGACCACCAGAAATTTTGTTTCAAGTCTTGGTACCTTTTGGTAGCACCAGGATGGATAGTGTACTTACCCATATGGCCCTCAGCCAATACCTCATCTACCATTTGACCCTTCGGAACAATGATCCGATCTTTGTAAAACTTAAGACCGAACTTATCTGTGGACACAAAGTTCTGCTCTTTCATAGACTGAATCTCTTCATCAAGCAATTGAGCTTCTTTAATTCACTCAACTAATGAGTTCAGGACTACTGTAATAGTCAATAAATGCGGACTATCCTCTTTATTCACAGGAATGCGGAGATCCCTGAATTTCTCAATCAAATTATTCTCAGAAATCATCAAATTGGCCATACCAAGCGCCTTTCTGCTTAAAGCATCTACTACTACATTGGCCTTACCGGAGTGATATTGCAATTCAAAATCATAATCCTTCAGGAATTCCACCCATCGGTGTTGCCTCATATTCAGCTCTTTCTGATCAAACAGATACTTCAGACTTTTGTGGTCACTATAGACAATGAAATCAGCCCCGTATAGAAAGTGTCGCCAGATTTTCAATGCGAACACTACAGCTGCCAACTCAAGATCGTGTGTCGGATAGTTCTCCTCATGCGGCTTTAACTGCCGAGAAGCATAAGCAACCACCTGACGAAACTGCATTAAAACACAGTCTAACCCAAACTTAGAAGCATCACAATACACCACAAATTTACTGGTAGGATCCGGCAATATCAATACCGGAGCTGTAGTCAACTTCCTTTTTAACTCTTGAAAGCTCACTTCACATTCTTGGGTCCACACAAATGGGTTCCCTTTACGGGTTAACCGTGTCAAAGGTAGTACCATTCGTGAGAATCCCTCAATAAAACGCCTATAATACCTAGCCAAACCAAGAAAACTCCTGATCTCTGTAATATTTCTAGGATGTTCTCATTCTAACACTGCTTCAATCTTACTCGGGTCCACTGCCACTCCTTCAGATGAGATGACATGGCCCAGAAATTGTATCTCAGAAAGCCAGAATTCACACTTTGACGGTTTAGCATATAACTGATGCTCTCTCAGAATCTGCAAAAAAACCTTTAGATGCTCAGAATGCTCTTCTTTACTCTTTGAATATATCAGTATGTCATCTATAAAGACCACCACAAACTGATCCAGATAGGCTTTAAAGATCCGATTCATATAACTCATGAAAATGGCTGGTGCATTTGTAAGCCCAAAAGGAATAACCAGGTACTCATAGTGTCCATATCGGGACCTGAAAGCTGTCTTCGGAACATCATCCGGCTTTATCCGGATCTGATGATATCCGGACCGGAGATCAATCTTCGAAAATACAGTCGAACCATGCAACTGATCTAACAAATCATCTATACGCGACAAAGGATACTTATTTTTGACAGTAACCTTATTCAACTGCCGGTAATCAGTACATAACCTCATAGACCCATCCTTCTTCTTAACAAAGATTACCGGTGCTCCCCACGGAGACACACTCGGTCTGATAAAATTCTTACTGGACAAGTCTTCGATCTGTTTCTTCAACTCAGATAATTCAAGAGGTGACATCCGGTATGGGACAAGAGAGATAGGCCCCACACTAGGCAATAAGTCAATTGCAAATTCAATTTCCCTCTCTGGAGGAAAGTGCGGAATTTCATCCGAAAAGACATCCTCAAATTCAGAAACAACTGGAATACCAGAAATTGGCTCCTTATTGGTGCCAACCGAACCTCCTAACATAATAAACCCAGAATCTCCTTCCTTTAAGGCTTTTATAACCCGAAGTACAGATAAGTAAGGAGACTTCCCTTCTTCATCATGAGACGAAACAGAAATGGTTTTACTGCAGCAGTCAATCTTCACACAGTATTTAGACAACCAGTCCATTCCCAAAATCAGATTTACAGATGCAAGATGCAAAACAATAAAATCGGCAGAATACTCCTTGCCTTCATACTTGAATTTCACATCTTCACAAATATACTTTTCATTAAAAACATTCCCCACAGCCGTAACAATACGCATAAGAGTTTTCATTATTGTCAAAGGCAGACCAAATGCGTCGGCTACATAATCAGCAATAAAAGAATATGTGGCACCAGAATCAAATAATACACTAAGCAGTTCATCTTTAATAGAAATCATACCTCGCACCAAAGTAGAGGATTTCTCAGCCTCTAGCTGAGTCACTGCATACACTCGGGCAGTAGGAGGTGGGAGAGGTAGAGATGGCTCCTCAATCATCATAGGGGCCGGGGTAGCCTGAATTGCAGAAACCTGTCCCCCACTAAAGAGGCAGTCTTTAATAAAATGCCCGGGTTGACCACACTTATAACAAAGCCCTTTTTCTTTCCTGCAGACCCCTGCATGGGCTCTTCCACAGATAGCACATTGAGGAACAGATTTAAAATTCCCCTGCTTTGAATTCCCTATTTTCTTGAACTTACCATCAGACTGTTTCACCTGCAAACCTTTTCCCTTGGAATTTCCAGTATTACTTTTAGGACCCGAATTAGAAGCTGTTTGGTCCTTGTTCTTCCTTCTGTAATATTCTTGAATATTTTTACACTTTTTAACAAGTGCAGCAAAAGTATCAAATGAGTCACCTGCAAGTTTTTCAGAGATGTTATCATGTAATCCTCTATGAAATTTAAAAATCAAGTCATCCTCTGTAGGTGGAGCTCTCTGGAAATGAGAGTATTTGGCCAGCTTATTGAACTTATTCAAGTATTCATCAATAGACATCTGACCCTGCTTTAGTTCTTCAAATTCACCCTTCTTCCTTATCCGGGCTTCAGCCGGAAAGTATTTCAGCAAGAATTGCCTTTCAAACAAAGGCCAGGTAATAGCATAACCCTGACATTCCAAGGGCTGACGGGTATTTCTCCACCAATCGGCTGCATCATTCTGCAACATATAAGAAGCATACAACAATTTCTGCTGATCATCACACTCCATGACAGAAAATGCGATCCAATTCTTCTAACCACTGAATTGCAACAATAGGATCAATGCCTCCTTTATAATTTGGTGGTGCATGTTTTCGGAAGGCATTAAGCATTCTTTCTCTTTGCTCTCTATTAGTGGCTGGCTGTGCCACACCACCCCTGTGACTAGATTCTTCATTCATATCATTATTTCCTTCACCCTCCACAACAATGGGATTTTCAGGAGGAGGAACAGGCTGTTGTGGGGTTGGTTGTGGCTGTGGCTGTGGCTGTGGCTGTGGACCTTGTCCACCTGCCCTTACTTCAGCCAATAGTAATCTCATCATCTCAACATTTGCCAGTCTGCTTGCTTCCATCATTTGTTGATTGGCCAACCTATTAGCCTCTATCAGATCTTGATTTGCTTTCATCATTACTTCCAGCTCTCGCTGCCTAGCTGCAGCCATATTTTGCTGCATTTCAGTTAAGGCCATTATCATTGGATCTGGTTGTAAAGAACCACCCCGCTGCGTTACACGAGGCCTAGCCAAATCAGCTATAGTTGGATTTGTCGGGTCAATAGGAGGATCCAGAGTCCTTCTTGGGCGAACCATAATTCTGCATATTTCACACAAAGGAATGAGTTAGCTACGCTCACACTCAGTGATCAGACATGCATATCATAGTACTTCAAGGAAAACACTCTAGAACATAATAACCCGAACAATTTATGCAATATTTCACAGGCTCTCCTAGAGAAACTGCTCTGATACCACTTGTAACGCCTGGAAACTTGCAAGGATCAACGATTGTCCCCACACACTAACACGAGACTTTTCAGCGTGCTTTGTCCTCACTCACACACTTTCCGGGATAACTTTCCAGGAGGTCACCCGTCTCTGAATTGCTCCAAGTCAAGCACGCTTAACTGTGGAGTTCTTCCGATCCGGGCTACCGAAAAGTAGATGCATCTTATTAGTATAGGTAGTACCAACTAATTCTTATAAGTCATTCCCAACTGTACCGTCCCATACCAGCACAGTATCTGGAATCCCTCTCTTTCGGGTGTTGATTCGATTCACTCATGTACCCCCGTCCCTAGAAGCCTGCCAGGAGCCGCTCCTTGTCCGTGCCCTTGCGCACCGGCGATCACTCCCCGCCCTCGTCAGCGCCCGGGATGTTACATGCCCACCAGCTTCCGTCTGGTTCGTCCTAAAACCACACCGTACTGGATGAGAGGCCCTGCTCTGATACCATAAATGTAACATCCCCGTCTCGAGCCGGTTCAATTAACATACATATGATATAGACAGATATAGCGGAAGACTTATCTTACGGAAATACGGGCTAACTTTTTCTTTTTCTTCTTAGCTTCATACAAAGTATAACCAAAAATCGGACAGAGTAACCTCTGTAAATCGGACAACTGGGGATTTTCCAATCCCACTCCCAAGAGTTCCTGATAGACAGTTTCAATAATATTCATATTCAGAAGTACCAGTCATGCAATATAATCAGATACCCATCCATGGGCGCATGCAGAATTTGGCTCCGTGCCACTAATCTAACAGCATGCAGTCCAATACAGAAACATAACTGAATACTACATAGTCATATCAACATGCCTGAATACAAAAGGTACATGCATAAAACTGAATGACATGTACAAGACATATACAGGCCATATACAAAATACAGGATCTAAAATAATGACCCATCAATACGGAAATACGAAATACATAGGTACACTCCAAAAAGATTAGTAGCCTACAGCTACTCAAAATACTGATCCGTCAAACGTCTCAGCCCCGTGTCGTGTCCCTGCCTAACGACGGCTCACCGGAAGTCTGTGCACCTGAAAATGTAGCCCCAACGAGGGGTAAGATTTCAAATCTCAGTAAGCTCCAGGTTTATAGAGAATTCTCCATACCCTTGGCTCACTCCTGCATGAAAGTCAGATACAGAGTATACCAGTACAACATATAACAGATATCATAACAGACAGAACATATAACCATATCATAACAGAGGTGTGCGCTGTAATTCCCAAGGGATGACCCCAAGCGGAATTCAACGCACGTGTTCCCAAGGGATGACCCCAAGCGGAACCAGAGTATCTCAGAGGTGTACATAGTCAATCTCAGGAAAGTCCTAAGAAGACATCAATGTACCAGAAGTCAATACAGAATTTATATCAGAACTAGTCATATCATATCATGTCATATCAGATCATTTCATATCATATCATATGATTTCATATCATATCATCATATAACTCTATATGAATGCACCTATACAGAGTATCACACACAGTCATATAGTCCAACCATAGTCCACTAACTATGGTGGAGCACTCAAGCAGGAAAAGACTCCTTAAACATAGAGCTTACCTCTTGAAGCTTTACCAATTCGCTTACTTGTGGAACAAGTTACTTTTATCGCTTCAAGAGATTTCCGATCCTTCTCAATCCCTAGGCACACCTAGAGAATAATTTACGATGCATCAATAAAATGATACTATGCCATGATTATTTCATAAGCATACATTTTATCGCTTATTTTCCTTTCTTTATATTTTTGCCAATTCTATGCCAATACACAAGCCTAGACCTCTATATACCCGTTGACGTTCTTTAATTTAATCAAGCATTTCCTTAAGAATTTTCCACATAAATCACGCTATTTTCTTTAAAGTCGCGGGCATACCCTTAGGGACTCAAGGTATTTTTCAACCATTTTTCCTGTCATTTCACTTCTTAACTCATCCATGGGTACATTAAAATGCAACACATTTTATTAGAATAAAATGTAACCAATATATATATACCCCTAAACATCCTATAGTTCGAAACATAGAGCAAGTATTTGTAGGATTTTTTTCCAACTTTGGCATTTCCACCAATTCATCCATTTACACTACATTCCAACATATTTTACCTTTTCAAACATACAATAAAAATTTGCATGATGAACCCTATATAACCCATGAAGGCCGAAACCTAGGGGAAAGGTGCACTAGGGCTTTTCAATTTTTTTTATCACAAGTTGATGCTTACTAAACACTATCCTTCCTAACCAACAACAATCCATCATAATTTTCACCTTCTAACATCAAATATTTCCCACTCAAAACATGCTCCAAATTTTCAAAACATAGATCAACAAAATAATACTATAGAAATAGAGGTTTCTTACCTCTAATCACTTGTACAAAGCCTAGAGAATAACCTCCAAGCAAAGCTCCATCAAAAACCCACCTTTTCTCCTCCAATGAATAGTAATACGAAAATAAGAGGAGGAATAACTCTTCACACACTCAACTATAGCTCAAATGGATAGGTGCAATGGATTCCTTGAGTGGTTCCTAATCAATTTCAAGTGGTGGGTCATAAGATTTGGTTGAGAATTCAAGAAGAAATCAACAAAACAAGCAAAACCCTAAACCCCCCCCTTTTCCATGGCTGAAGCTCGACCCTTCAAGAGAGAGAAGAAGAAATTTTTGCAATGAATAGTGATTCATTTAAGTGGCCAAGCTATTTAGGCACATGTGGCCCTTTTGTCGGATGTTTTTCTATCGCGTATTTCACTTAAATTTACCCGAAACTTAACTTAAAGCTACGGATATATTTTTATTTTTCTAAAGTTATTTACATTAATTTTTATTTCCTAAGGAACAATATTCGTAATTCACAGTATGATTTCTGCACCGTTTTTAACGAAATGCACTGTGAACCACTAATTGTCAGTCTTTTACTTACGAAACTCAAAACTTATAAACTTATCATCATTGGGCCTATTTTGACTTGTATAGCATACATTGGACTTTCTTACTCTTATTCCATCATTTATTTATTTTCTGGACTCTACCGGTTGCTCAACAGCAGTACAAAATACCCGGTAGAAACACTATTCACGAGATTTTCACGGAAAGTGCCAGACTATACAATTTTTCATTCTGAACTCATATTTGTCGTCAGAATTGTCAAATATGTCTCTCAAATCATTTTGCTTATTTAAGCTCTACCGGTTAATTCACAAGATTGCGAATTCTCCGACAGAACGCACTGTTCATAACATAGTCATGATTACAGTCAAAATACTCGGAATCACTCACTGAACCTAATTATGGCATTTAAATCCTTAAATTAAATCTTTAATTAAGATTTACTATTTTGGGTCATTATACTACCCGACCTGGTGAAGTTCAGGACGAGATATTGCTGAGATCCGAGATCAGGATCTTGTTAATTGACTTTCGCACAAAGACTACTTAGCCGAGCTTGAGGGAACCGAGTTCCCAACAATTTTTAAATTTGGTTCCACAACCTGATAATTTACTGGGGTTGCAATTCTCACATCTCAATTAAGATTGGAACCAACAACCTAGCAATAAAGTCAATATTGGCGAGGGTGCATAATTGGGCCACAAATTCATGCCGAATCAATATTTTTTTTATCCATTCAAGCATACATATTGAAAAAAGGATCATGAATAATATCCGTATCAGTATCCAGCCAATCTATATTATCCTACTAAATAGCTTGCTCAACATTTATCTTTGGGGGCATGTTTCTATCACATCAAACAGAGAATAAGTATAAAGAAGGAATTACATAACTAAACACATTCATAAGCCACTTTTTTATTTATTTATAAATCACAAATTTTTTTCACTTACGAGAAGGAATCTGTTACAGTTTTATTTATTTTATTTTATTATTATTTATGTTATTTTATTATTTTCTGAATTATTAGATTGTTTAAGTTGATAGTTATTTTTCTTGTTTAATGTGTTTGATCCTTCTCGTTACTATTTATGGTCCTTTAGTTTTAGTGTTCTTCCAACAAAAGAAAATTAAAACTGAAATGAGTGAAATAAAGTAAAATAACGTCTATAATTTGATTCTATCCCACTTCATTATTGTTTAAGATAAACTTTTTTTTTTTTTTACCAAAAAAAATAAAAAAAAGATAAACTTTTTTTAAAGGATCCATTATATTTTTCGTTAGTCTAGCTAATATATATTGTATTATACAAAGCATCATTACTGTAATTTCAATATAATGGAAGATGAATTACAATACCTTACAGAAATTTGTAGGGACGGTTGTTAGGGATGAGGAGTGAAGCAGCACCGTATAACAAAATGTGGTTTATAGATTTAAATACTTAGTTGATGGTGGGACCGTGCATTTTCAATTTTAGTACAAGTTGATTGGTATTCACTTTAGAATAACTATATTTGTTTATATTCTAGAATAACTATATTTGTTTATGGGTTTTATGTGTCTCCTTCAACAGAAATTTTTTTACCTCCAGCCATACACACAATTCAGCAATGGGTCCCACTAAAAGAAGAAAAAGAAAATAAAAATGGAATGGACCCACGTATTTTTTGAGTCCGTAGGAAAAAGCATTATCTTCTTTAAAAGGAGAAAAATAAATCCCTTTGTTTATATTCTAGAATAACTAAATTGGGATCATGAACTAGATATCAAAGGTACTGATTCTGTTTTATTAGATTATGCTACTTTATATTATTTATTAACGTATTGCATCGAACACTTTACTTTTTAATATTTAATTTCTTGGCTATTTTCGTAAGCTGATTCATAATAATCATAACTAATTACGTCTTCCCAACCATGTCAGCATTACTCCCAAAAAGTAAAGATTATACTACAAACAACCATGGGTTATCTATATTTTTTGGCTAAAACAATCGCATGGCGGCTGCTCCAAATATCTTTAATTTGATTCTTGTTCCACACTGACAAAACAAGATACTTTATATATATATATATATATATATATATATATATATATATATATATATAAGGAAATAATTATCTCATGTTACATGAGATAATTATCTCATGCAACAGAGACAAAGTAGTGTGGTTCATATTATTTTTTTTTTTTTTACAATTGGTGGACCCCACTATCTTATCTCTGTTGCATGAGATAATTATCTCATGCAACATGAGATTAATAGATCCCATATATATATATATATATATGGATTTGATGAGTGTCAAGTCACTGAATATAAGTATTTGTCCAGTCACTAAATCATAACTATATAAGAGTGAATCAATAGTGGTAAAGGAAGAAAGAGAAAAAGGAAATCATAAGCATTCAAAGATGAATCAATAAATATAAAAAAATAAATCAACAAAACGACGTAGTTTAGTACTGACTTGACCATCCAGTGACATAATAAACAATAAATCCTATATATATATATATATATATATATATATATATATATATATATATATTCTTAAAGCATATAACATTGTGTCATTCTGGATTTAAACTGTTGATTTCCGTCAATCAACAGTTGATTAACGAAAATCAATGGTTAAGATATAAAATGAAACAATATTATATTCTTTAAAAGGACAAATATTTTTCTACAAAATGTAACATACTTTTTAGTTTTTACACTTTTTTCTATACCCGAGTTGCATTTTTTTTTTTAAATTACATTCATCATTAGATGAAATTGCAATCAATTGTTATGGAATATGTCAATTGAGATGAGTGGTTTAACAGTGAAAGGAACAAATAAAGATCATTAGATCTTTCACAGGTGATTAAGGAAATTTGAGAAAATAAAGTAATGTAACTTTGTTAATTATGAGACTTTTAAGTAACTTTCAATCTTAATCCTGCTTTTAGTATAAAAAATAAGGTAAGCAAGAATATATTAGGCGGTAAATGAGTAAGTATTGAAATAAATAACACAGACCACACATGATTTCAGATCTTCAACCGAATGCATAAATCATCTTATTATAAAACGATAGATCAAATTATGCAATGTCTGCGTGTCAAGTAGGTACATGAGCAAACTTAAAGATCAAATGTATACCAAAAAAATTAAATAAAATTAAGATCAATGAAAAACAAGCAAATGATAATTCACACTTCCATTTGCTCAGCGAAACATGTCCATCATTTATTTTGTAACTGTTGAGAGACTTGTCATTTGATTAATTTAGCAACGATACAAGCAGCTAAAATTTTAGTGGGCTGGGCGTGGATTATAAGAGCCCAAGTCATGAGCTGGCCCAAACTTGTTGGATGTGTGTGGGAAAAATTGAAAAACTCGAATGTGACCCAAACAAACAAAGATCAAATATTAACAGTTTGTTTGGATGAATTTTTTTTTTTTCAAAAATTGTTTTTTTAAAAAAAAAAGCACTTCTTGAAAAAAGTCTGTTTGGATGTCAGCTTTTAAAAAAAGTAGAAGTCATACAAAAAGTCAAAAACCTATTTTTTTCTAAAAATTTTAACTTAAAAAAAAAACAGAAGTCAAAAATCAAATATTTTTTTTAAAAATCAAATATTTTTTTTAAAATCTAAATAGTTCTAACTTTATAAAGTAGTCTTAGAAGAAGGAAGTGATAAAAAAGATTTTATTAAAAAGCCAATACAAACGCAATAGTGTAGTGTGGAGTGTGGGGGAAAGCCTCTTGCCGTGAAAGAACCGCGATGAGACGGAGGCGGTGGCGGCGTTGCCGGAAAACTTCTTTCGGGTGCCGGTGGTGAGCTTCAGTTGGTGTATGGCATAATATTGCGGCGAGCTTCAATTGGTTTCGGACCTCTGCGGCTTCGACAAGGTGAAGCTCAATGCGGCTTGTTGAAGTGCAAGAAATAGAAGGTTCTGTGTATTCATTCTTGTTTGGTCAAATGAGATGTTATGGTTGGTGTCAATTTTCAATTGTTTATTCTCATGTTTTATGGGATTAGTGTTTCTCATGTGATAATATGATACCTTTAATGATTTTTTTTCTACATTCATGATATTACACAGTTTCCTGTTTAAAAAACTTTCCTTTTGGTACAGGAATATTTGAAGGAAGCACCATATCCAGCCGAATAAATTGAAGAATTCATTGTGGAAAAGTTGACTTCATTTTTGAGCAGTAATGCAGCTTATTTATAAGTCATAAAAGTTGCAAATCAATACAAGTTCAATCAGGTTCTTTTTTTAAGCCCCATTTGCAAAGTTACTCCCGTTTGTAAAATCATATTAAGATCTGTATATGTTTTTTGTTGAGTCAGTTTGGTTCAAAAGTTTATAGTTTAAAATGGTATTAGTTATTCTTTTTCGTTCTGTACTTTTGTAGTAATTAAAAGCTATTGCTAGGTTCTCTGGAATGCATTTTAGCCTCAATAGTGGAGTTATTTTCATCCCATTTTTGTAAGCATGTTGCAATCTGAATATAAACTTTTTTGTTAACAATTTGCTCAGCAACTTTGAAATGGTGTTCTTTATGTTTTTTGTTTCTGGATTTCTGTAAAATTTAACAACTGCTGATCGTATAGTGTTTGTATATCTGGATTGCATTTTTTATTATTTATAAGGTTTCATGAACGTACTCCAATTGAGAAATATCTAAAAATTTCTTGTGGTGTTGTATTTCACCATTGCCAACAACCATTTCCTTTGGTTGTAATGGCTAATGTGTTGTCCCTCTTATTTTCTGTTTTTCTAATTTTGACGCATTTATTTCTAGAGTGCTGCTCATGTGTATTCAGAGGTCAAGGGTGTACATGCTTTCTAGGATGCTTTATCATCAACTCTAAGGTTAGTTTTTTGGATCTATCATATATGGCTATGATTTATCATGTCTGTTCTTTATTTTTTAGTGTAATTCTCATGAGACATTTTTGTATTGATTAAAAGCTAGGAGTTCATAGCTTGTAGAAGGATTAGTTAAGTATTTGATAGCTCATATATAAAAGGATAAAAACCAATAATTGAAGAGTACTTTTATCTCAATACTTGACTTAGTTGTATGTATCAGGATTAAGCAATGTACGAGGATCAAATTAATGAACTTCATGCTGACCCACTGTTTTCCTTGTCAAAATATTGAAAAGACTTATACTAATTCTCTTCCTTGTCAAATTAATGGCTGCATAGAATGTGCTGACTTAGCTCAGTTGTCATTATCATCATGTAGGATCTTGTCTAGATTTTTGAGAATTACTTATCTTAGGATGTTTTCAAACATCATTATTTCATGCCTTTGCCTTTGAGTTCCCTTTATAATTTGGTGGCATGTACAGAGCAGATATTCCCCTCATATTGTGTCCAAATATCTCCCAAGAATAATAAAAAATTAGAAAATAAAAGGCAGAGATCTTTCATATCAGTGCAAAGGAAGATTGAAAGTAGTAGATATTTTAGTTGCAGTTGTTGTTGAAGGAAGGCATAGATAATTTGCCAGAAACTGAACATATGGCCGAATTGAAAGCAAAACAGGTCACTTAACACGAACAATGATGCAGCGCAAAGCGAATAGTAATTCATGATGAATTCGATCGTCATTGTACCCATCCCAATTTCATGATATGAGTAACATATGCATGACATTGCCCATAGATAAGTGTCACTATTTGTATTGGAATGGTACACCAATGTCTAATTATACAAAGCCGAGCCCCATTTAATTTATCTGACTTTCTGTTTTTGATATTGTGGTCTCCTCATCGCCTTTTTTATCACCGTGAATGATCAATTGAGCTTTATTATCGCTGCTATCATTGCTGGGATCTGTGACCGGTAGCTGCTGTTCTTGCATGGAGTTCTCCTTTGCAGGGGACGGTGGCATTCGACCTTTGTATTCTTTAGATTTTCCCCACACAACTAGATAAAGTCCAGCAACCACCACTATTGCTCCAATAATACTGATATCATAATAATTCATCAGAAAATGGGGGGGAAATAAGGTCAATATTTTTAAAGAAAAAAGGGGGAAAAAACTGAATTATAGCATTTGCAACTTGCTAGTACCTTCCAAGGTAAAGTTGCTCAGAGAGGATGATGCAAGCCAAGGCTATGACAATGATCATACGCAAGGGATTAAAAGCAGTCACAATAACTGGGCCCATGACTTTTGTGACCATGCCTTGAATATAATACTTGACTCCTGATGTAACTATTCCCTGTAATGATTTAAGAAAAGGAAAAGAAAAGGATTTAATGAAACTTGAGATATTAGAGCTGTGGGGTGGGGGGTATAGTACAACTTGTGTTGGGTCGTTGAGTACAGGTTTTGTTTCCACTTTCAGCCCAAATAGCTGTTTTTTTTTTTTTTTGAGTAGACTCAAGGGTATCCCCATCCCCTTTGGGGGTGAGACTAATCCCAACCGTGCATTGTCGGTCCCTTGCGGGGATAGCACTACCCAATCTGTTTTTTTCATATCTAGGACTCGAACTCAGCCCAAATAGCTGTTTTAGTTTAGTATTAACGTACTATCCATAAGCACTGACCGCGTAAGCGGGAGCAAAGAGTCGTGTGTCCCAACCCCGAGACCAGGCATGAGTGCGATGGCGCTCCGCGATAACAGCTACTACAGAGCTTTGAAGTGCACCTATAAAGCAAACCCAGGTGGCCAGGGACATCGGTGCTTTATACTTTCTCAATGTTATAGCCTGCAAAATACCAAACCATGAATACGTTTCTCATAGGTTTTCAATAAATATGTGATGTTATCTGATGTTTAAACTAGTTGGAAATGGAACTATATATATGTTCCATGTTGCCTGCTGCAAATAGCAACAGCTTACCTGCAATATGTAAAATGTAGAAAAGCCTGCACAACCAATGAGGATGAAACATGTTCCTGTGACCCAGTGCTTGCCAGTTGGGTCGTTCACATTCTCAGGCTGGCCAGCATGGCTGTTTGACGATCCCACAACACTAATTAAGGGACCCTTGTACAGTGCCATTAGCAACGTGCCTCCAAAACTTATTGCGGTGCCAACCACTTTGGCTTGACATGCTACCTCCTTAATCTTCATGTGTTCCAATCTGCTTAATATAATTAAATGTATGATTGTCCATGTCCCTTATGCATTTGCTGCAACCAAACCAAAAATCGTGTTTTTGCCATTTTAGATGTGTGTTGTTAGTATGGTTGTACTCAGTCCATATGGGATATATGGAACATGAAGTTCACAAGAAGTACGTACACTGTTCTACTAGAATGATTGTGCCTAACCTCATGCCGGGAAAAAAGCACGAAGGTACTCAGCATATATATTTAGCATAAGTGGGATATCTTATCATGGGACTCTGTTTTTTATTGTGGGTTAGGTCGGAAGAAAAAGGTAGATTGTGCATATATTTGGTGACCGAAACTTTGGTGTTCCCTTTGGCACTACAATTCCACGCCTTTTCTATCTTTCATAATTATTAATTAACAAGTAATGAAAATGATTATCTTGTCTCTAAACTATGGTCGTTTTCCTAGATATTTCAAATTGAATCTCTTTACCCTGCCAGCCCCTTCCATTAATCTTGCGCTCTTTTTACAGGATGTTTGTTAGGGTATGAGCCAGTGGCAGAGCCACTTAGGGGCAGGGTGAAGCCTTGACTCGGACTAAAATTTGAAAATTAGCCATGTTTTTAAAGTGGCTAAGTTTCTGATTAAAATTTAGTGTTAGGCTCAATCTAAATTTTTGTTTGTCTTAGTTTAATAAATGGGCTGGCTCCGCTACTGGCATGAGCCCTAAGAGAGGTAACAAAGAGAAACGAAAAGAGAATGAACTTTAGAATTATTATTCAGATGCTTCAAAAGGTTTACAAGGTTCTTATTTATACATCAGCCATAGCCAAAACTATACTAACAACCCTATACACAAGTCACCTTATTACACGTACCCAGATGCTGAATACAAGCAACCCTTAACAACCCATTCAATGTCAGCCAACTAACTCACTTATTCTGCACATGCATTTAAGCTACAAAGTTGTTTAACCTTGTAGAACTTCTTGTAGAACTTCTTCTAGAACGTGTTGATCTCCTTAACATAACTAGGGGCGTAAATGAATCAGAGGGTCTATCAGGGGCCTATGACCTGGCCTTCCTTAGGTCTGACATAATCTGCTCTATTTTCTGAATAGAGTATATTTATTCTTTTAGAAAAGTTCATTTAAAAATTAGGATATAGTCCCACTTTAAAAAGCTTGGCTTAAAAGCATGCAAGCTAGCATTTTAATTTTTTAATAATATAATATATTTATGATATATATTGTTCACTTAAAGACATATCCTGAAATTATGATTTGTAACACTAATTTTCAAAATAATAGGACTAATGTTATTTTAACAAATAATAAATATTTATTTAAAATTTAAAATATTATATTAAATTAATTTAGTAAAGAAGGTGAAAATTATATGCATATATACATATATGAAATTTTCATATGATCTTTATGAACATTATTTCATGTGATTTTTGTGAATAAATATAAACTTTAGTTTGTAACTTAGTAGGCCTTACAGGTCGTGTTAGACTTTTTATTTTTTTTATAATAGGTCAGGTCAGACCTAAAAATATTTTACACAGGCTTAGATTATCAAAGCCAAAGTTTGGTATAACTTGACTCATTTACACCTCTAAACGTAACATCTTCTCCTTATTCACATTCGACCATGTCCTCAAGGTCAAGGTTTGCATAGCAATGCCTTAATTCCAACTCTCTTTCCCGTGAAGAATCTTCGGGTACTGTATGCGACCATTGAACCAGAAACTCACAGACTTGCTCCTCACGACAAGACACAGTTCCCCTAAAATAGCAATAGGGACCTGAACTGGTGTGTTATCAACCGCAGAACAGGCTCACTGCTAACTGCTGAGAGCCTACACAAGGTTTTAACTAAGAAACGTGAAACACATGGTGTGTTTGACAACCTGGTGGAAGCTTCAATTCATACGCAGTCGTGCCCAAGGTACGAGAGACTTTGAAAGGACCAAAAAATATCTTGATAAGCTTATGGTTAGCTCGCCGTTCCACAAAGACCTGACGGTAAAGTTGCAAGCGAACCCAAACCATATCACCTACATTGAAGGATCTCTCTTTATGGTGCTTGTCGAACTGCACTTTCATATGATTCTGAGCTCTTTGCAGATGCAGTTTAGTCCTTGCAAATATTTCATTATGATGTTGCAATATGGTATCTATAGCTTCGACCTTGATGAGTCTTCTTGGATAAAAAAGAATCATGGTTAGAGGTCTTTCAAACACTTCTTTGTAAGGAGCCATGCCAATAGCAGAATGGATTGCCAAATTATAATGATGTTGGGCCTAAGCAAGGAAGTGTGACCATAAATGAGGTTGTTCATAGCAGAAAGAATGTAGGTACTGCTCCAAGTATTTGTTGGTAACTTCCATTTGACCATCTGATTGAGGATGGTAAGAGGAAGTAGTCAGTAAGGTTGTGCCACTCAGCTTGAATAGGTGAGTCCAAAATCGACTGAGAAATATACTGCCTCAGTCTATTAGAATGGAGCGAGGAAAACCATGTACACGAACAATAACATCAGAAAATAAGGTAGCAACAATTGCAGCAGTCTAAGATGTAGGTAAATTCCCAAAATAAGCGAATTTAGAGAGCCTATCTACCTTTACATAAATGGTTGTAAACCCTTTGAAGAGTGGCAAACCAGTTATAAAATCCATGGAAAGCTCTTCGAAAATACCTTCAGGGACAGGTAGGGGCTACAACAGACTAGCGGACTTTGAAGTTTCATATTTCACTTGTTGACAAACATGGCAACTTCAAACAAAATATCAAATTTGAAATTTTCACAAATATAACATTAAATTCTAGCTCAAAAAGAATTGCGTTAAGGTTGCCATCCTCAAACACTCTAGACAAGGCATCAACAACAACATTAGTTCTACCAGGCCTGTACTCAATACGAAATGAATATTCCATGAGTTTACAGAGATATTTTTGTTGCTCAGCAGTATGTATGGTCTGTGTAAGGAGCTCCTTTATACTTCTAAGATCTGTGCGAATAGTAAACTTAGAACCCAACAAATACTTATGCCAATGTTTGACAACAACAGTTATGGCGTACAACTCCCTAATGTATGTAGAAGCATTTTCCAATCTGCCTCCCGACTTTTTACTGAAGTAAGTAATTGGTTGCTCATGTTGGAGGAGAACAACACCAACTCCACTACCTGAGGCATCTGGTTCAAGCACAAATGCCTCTTAAAAATTGGGCAAACACAACACAGGAGTGTGAGACATAGCCTTCTTTAATTATGAAAAGGCCTCAGCTGCCTTTGCAGACCGCACAAATTGTTCGGATCCTTTCAAAAGCTCTGTCAAGGGAAGAGCCAGCGAAGTATAGCCCTTCACAAACCTCCTATAATAGCCTGCGAAACCCAAAAAACCTCTCAATTATTTAAGAGTTTTGGGAACAGGCCAATCAAGCATCGTATAGATCTTCTTCGGGTCAGCAAAAACACCATTCTCAGCCACCGTATGACCCAAGTACTCTATATTCTTTGCACTAAAAGAGCATTTGCCGATTTTAATGAAAAAATAGTGTTGCTGCAAACAACTCATTGTGACTTCCAAATGTTTCACGTGCTCCTCGATGGACTTCCTAAACACCAATATGTCATCAAAGAAAACTATGATGAATTGACGAAGGTAAGGTGTAAACAGGTGGTTTATAATTGCTTGGAAAGTAGCATGGGCATTAGTCAAGCCAAATGACATGACTAAGAACTCAAATGCCTCTCTTGAGTCCTAAATGCAGTCTTATGAATATCAATTGGCAACATTTGTATTTGATGATACCCAACCTGCAAATCCAACTAAGTGAACATAATAGAGCCTTCTAATTCATCTAAGAGCTCGTCAATAGTGGGAATATGGAAACTGTCCTTAATTGTGACCTCATTTTGAGCCCTATAATCTATACGGAGCCTCCAAGAGTTATCCTGCTTCCTAACTAACAAAACTGGATAGGAAAATGGGCTTTGTGAGTGTTGGATGAAACCAGAATTCAACAAATCGGATACTTGTCTCTGAATCTCAGATTTCTGGCTTTGAGCATAACGGTAAGGCTTTTCGTTGACTGGTTTGGCACCTTACACTAAATGAATTGAGTGGTTCAATCCCTTAAATGGAGGTAATCTTCAAGACAAACTGAACATTGTTGGAACTTCACCAGAATTGGCCATAAAGCTTGATGAACCGAAGCTTGAATAGCCAATAACTCAGGCAGTAGTACAACATCCTGCACAAGAGGAACCCTTTAAGCTTGCAACGCATCATATACAACCCAGTCTTGATTGACTATTTCATCTAACAAAGCATCTACTAAAATAATCACGAGTAACTTTCCCTAGCTTCTCAAGACAAGGTGTAAAAACCCGCACCGTTAATTAAGGAAATTAAGTAATTAATTATGTTAAATTAGGAAATGATCCCATAATTGACCCTAGTAATTATTAAGAGGCTTTACTAATTATGATAAGTGATTAAGAATGCTGAAAGTCGCTTTTCGGAAGAAAAGTGCAGATACCGATTCTGCTAGTCGGTATAAAAGCGTACCGAAAAAGTATCCCGGAAAAGTATAATAAGTGCATGATAATTCCTAAAATAATATATAAGACTTGTAAAACGAGTTTCAAGTTAAAATAATAAGAACTGGTGCCAGAAACTGATACTGGCTATGAAAAGCGCGTACCGAAAAGGTGCTCCGAAAAATATAATAAAAATATGATAATTCTTGTAAAATTGAGTATATTAAGAATCCTGAGTTTGAGATTAAAATGCTAAGCGTAGCAATTAAAGTTAATACTGTGTGTTTTAAGCTTAAGTGACTATTTATTTGATTGACACATGATCCTAGGGCAATTCCTTTTGTCTTGAGCGTGAGTTTCTGGTCCTCCAGCAGCTGAGTGCTTCTCCTCTTGTCACCTTCACCTTCCCTCACTCTCTTGAACCAAAGGAGCCATTTTTACTCTTGGTTTCTCTAACTAAACATCTTGTGGTTGTGGGGAGTAGCCTTGTTAGTGAGTGAAACTCCTTTTTCTGAGTATCCAGTTGCTGTGAGGGAGTGTGGTTGGGCTGTGTTCCTTGTTGGTGAGGTAGGGGCCTTTACCTTGGCTTTGTGGAGCTTCATGGAGCTTTCTTTGTGAAGAAAGGAACCACCTTGCTGTGCATTTTCGTGCACCCTTCCAAGTCAGAATCTTGGGAACTAGTTGTGAGCTCCAAGAGCCTTCCTTTGCTGAGTTTGAAGCCTTGAGTAAGTGTTGAACCTTTGGTCTTGTGTTTTGATGATTAAAAGAGGTGTCTTGGTATGTTTAATGAGTTAAGCAAGTAACCAACAGTTGTATGAACCTTAATGTGCCTAAAAATGCATGCTTTAACGTGTGTAAGTGTTAAAAATGGAACCTTGGAAGGATATCTTCGCGAAATACAGAAACTGCATTCTGTCGCGAAATATCCGGATATTTGCTTGTGAAATATCCGGATATTGATATCCAGATATGTGTATCCGGATATGGGAATCTGGATATCCGGATATTGATATCCGGATATTGCCATATGGATATCCAGATATTGGATATCCGGATATGTCCCCGAGGAATATCCGGATATTCTGGGATTTCGTAGAACAGTAGCTGTGCTGTGTGTACAGTAGGCTATTGGGGGTTTGTGGACCCTGGATTGATGAAGTTGAACTTCTGTAATTAATAAACTAAGTTAGAATCATGTGATTAAGGGCTTGTGGCTTTGTTAGAAGCCTTAAGACGTATAACGTAAAGGAAAGACGTTGTCTTTAAGTGTATGCTTGTAGAGTTTGATTAATGATGTATTATTGGTCCATAACAGATTGTGATACTGCCGTGTTTGGGCTTTGAGATTGTGGACTCTTGGCTGAGATAACTAGCTTGCAAGGTAAGCTTTCGTGTCCTCGTTTTAGCCATGTTGTGGTTCCACATGTCCCATGGAGGTATGGTTATATGCATGTTGTGTTACATGTTTTTGATGTTTTGGAAATGCTATTGAGCTGTTATATGCTAGTGCCTTTATGATATGCATGTGGTGTTCCACCTATACGGTAAGCCTGAGTATGTAGTACATACAATATGGTGAGGCTTGTGGGTGAGGTGCAAGCGGTGTTCCTTGTACTACATGTAGGTATAGACGTATTCCTGCATTTCTCTGGCCAGTAGAATAGTGATAAACACACATGGCATGAATATCTATTGCACTGCATAGTTTTGGAACTTATGTTGATATAAATGTTTTTAGAACTTATATTGCACATGTAAGTGAGCTTGGGGTGGAAGATCCTTGAGGACCCCTTGTCTTACTGAGATTTCTGGTTTAGAGATCTCACCCCACGTTTGGGGAATGCTTATTTCAGGATCAGGTAATGTTGAGGTTGAGGCCCCAGGCGGCAGGAGGCCGGAGCTGAGTTAGATATTGATGATATTATATGCTGACACGTTGGATGCTGGATATGCTTGCTGCTTTTATGCTTTTAGCTTCATTTTATGATTTTGGATTATCATGTTGAGACTCTGTCGTTATGTTGTTGATTTGGTGAGCATGGGGATTGTCCATGCCACGTAGACTAGTTATGTCTTGTTTTAGTTGGAGTCGTAATAATGTATCAGGATTATTGTCCGGATTACGTGATGTAATGCCGTGACTTAGATACTCACTTTATATTTTATATTGAGGTATTTCAGTTAGTTGTCTTGCAGTTTACATACATGCATTGTTTTTATGAAATTGATTAAGTAATCAACTTGGCTAAGTATAATGACGTCATAGTTGGAAAAGAAAAAGATATTCCGTAATTTTTAATTAAACGCAGCTTAATACGATAGTATGATAACATTACCGGGTATACACGGGGTGTTACACAAGGCATGCCCAAAATGATGTCGATATCTAATAATTCCAAAAACCTACAGAGCACACATAAAACACGCGCCTTGAATTATCAAAGGCACCTTCACGCACTTCTTCATTGACAACATGAACTTCCTGTTCCCCAAAAACACACGTAATCTATGTGAATGTGTCATTGTTAATGAGAGTTTTAGAGAAAGTTCTTTTTGGATAAAGTTGTGAGAACTTGCGGAATCCACTAACACCGAAAACTCTACACCATGCAAGCTAGACATAAATAGACAAAGAATGATGATGGTTTTTATCACACAACGCGTGTAAGGAAGCATTTTTGGACTCACCAACATTTGTGTCAATTTGTTCATCCTCCAATTCACCATCTAGCTTACTTTCTTCTCCCACCAATAGTAGCAATTTATTCTTGTTCCTGTGCTTTATAGTCCACTTTTCATCACATTTATAGCATAGTCCCAACTCTCTTCTCTTATGAAATTCATAATGAGACATCTTCTTAACCGTAGGAGGGGCTGGTAAGGCCAAGTTTTGTGACACTGATAAGGTTAAGTTTTGCGACGTGGTAGTAGAAGACTGCACTACTACTCCCATTATATTCTCAGTCGACGAAAAAGATTTTGGAATGAATTTCTTTGGTGCAGATTGGAACAAATTGCTCAATTCACCAAAGTGATCATCATAAGCCATTGCCAATTGGATCGCTTGGTAAAGAGTCACATGTTGTCAGAGCTAAACAACAATAAGCAATTCCGAATGTAACCCAGATACAAAGAAATTCATAAGTAAATCATCGTCCAAATTAGGAACCTGATTTACTAACCCTTCAAATTGTTGTATATAATCACGAAGAGATGAATTTTGGGTTAGCTTGGATAAAACACCCTTCATATTCTTAAAACCAGATATACCAAATCTTTGACGCAGAGCAAAAGCAAACTCACGCCAAGAATGAACCTTCCCACTGTTAAAGGTCCACTAGAATCAAGAAGCTGCATATCCTCCATCTTCAACCCAGCCAACAGAACTTTGGTTTCTTCAGGAATGCTTTGAAGGTTGAAAAATAGCTCTGCTTTAAAAATCCAATTGTTGGGATCATGGCCATTGAACACCGGTATCTCAATGAGAACACCTTTGAGTAGGGAGCGTTGGTCATTGGGCTGTTGTTTCTTGGATGTATGAGTGGAAGAAGAAGAATCCCTCAATTTATTAATGCCACTAGTAATTGAAACAATGTTGTGCTCCCAAGAGTTTGATAGTGAACGCAACAAGGTGCAAGCTTTATCTTCCTCATCTAGATTTATACATATAGATGAAAGTTGCGCACAAACAGTGTTAAATTCATCTAAATGAGCATAGAAAGAATCACCTTCGCTCATTCGCAAATTATACAGCTTCCTTCGCAAGAACAACTTGTTCACGAGTGACTTGCTTTGATAAAGGCTTCCCAGCTTTGTCCAGAGATCCTTCGTAGTCTTCTCAGAAGTTACGTTTACTAGAATGTTAACTGCCAGACATAACCAGATCAGGCCAGTAGCAATTGAAAAAATGTCAGATCAGGCCAGTAGCAATTGAAAAAATGTTGTGCTCCCAAGAGTTTGACAGTGAACGCAACAATGTGCAAGCTTTATCTTCCTCGTCTAGATTTATATATATAGATGAAAGTTGCGCACAAACAGTGTTAAATTCATCTAAATGAGCATAGAAAGATTCACCTTTGCTCATTCGCAAATTATACAGCTTCCTTCGCAAGAACAACTTGTTCACGAGTGACTTGCTTTGATAAAGGCTTCCCAGCTTTGTCCAGAGATCCTTCGCGGTCTTCTCAGAAGTTACGTTTACCAGAACGTTATATGCCAGACATAACTAGATCAGGCTTCGTGCCTTTTAATCGTCTTTGGTCCACGCCTTCAACTCCTTCGATTTGCCTTCCTCTGACGTTCCGTCACCGACAGTTTTCATTGGTACCGATGGCTTCTCATCTTCAATCATGTACCACACGTCCTTGTCAACGAGCAAAGCCTCCACCTTTAATTTTCATAACTCGAATCACTTTCTTTCAAACTTTTCAACCTCGATTCGTGATTGGCCAGTCAACATCCTTTTCAGATCAATTTCCAGTTTTCTCTACGCCAAGAAAAAAACCCGAAATCTTGAAACCCCAATCTGCCATAGGAACCGCGGTCGCAAAACCAAAGCTCTGATACCAAATGTTGAAAATCGTCAATCGCATAACACACAAATTGAAAATGAAAAGGAAAGGGAAGAGAAAATCGACACAATGATTTACCCTGGTTCACACCCAATGTAGGTTACGTACAACTTGTCTGTATAACATTCACCTCATTGCCACTCATTACAAGTCACTCGATTTACAAGGGAATATAAATAGGATTTAGAAAATTCTAACATCAACTATTCATGGACCCAAGCTCAAACTACTAAGTAAAAGAAAATTACAATAAGGCAGAGGCCCACAATAATACCAAGCCTTTCAGGCTCGGGGACGCTGCCCCCTACACCCCTGCCGGGGCGGCTCTCCTGAATCTCCGCCAACAAGGACCTTCACCAGTATACAAAGTATGAACCATACCCAACAGTTAATACATTATTTGATTAATTACTTACCTTAGAATGACTGCCAACACAAAAGTAATGGAGGGTGTGGTGTTCATCACAGCCGATAGGAAAGATGCCGACGTTAATTTCATTCCCAAGAGGGCGAAGCATTGATCAAGTATTATTCTGTAAGTAAACAGCATACAATTAAACTATGTTGTACCAAAAGAAATTACACTAAATACATACATACCAACAATAAGTGTAAGATGATCATTACTCGAAGAAAGCCAGTGCCACAATCTCTAAAAATATCCGGGTAGTCATCTTAGGCCTAACTTTCCTGCAAAAATATTTCTGTTATCAGAGCTGAATATGCTTTGAATATGCATGCGTGGTTGATGGCTTGATGCTTATTATGAATGAACGGAAGGGCGCTGAGACCTTTCTAGAACAAATGCGAAGGGAGCGAGAGTTATGGCGGCGATGGCATTACGGTAGACTATGAAGACGTAATGGCTCATACCCTTGTTGATAGCATCCATTGCAAAAATGAACATTCCGGCTGAGCCAAATTGTACTCCCAACAATAGCAAATATGGCTTTGCATTTCTGAACCACGCACCCATCTCGACTTTGTTTATCTGCAATTCAATGCAAAAGCAATGGAGGCCTTCTTAATATTTATACCCACCCAATAAATATATGGGTTTAATAAGAGTTATGATGTAGGAAAAGTGATTGTGTTATGTTATAGAGATTCGTTTTGCGTGCCAGAGTTTTTTTTTTTTTTTGGTTTCAAAAATTGTGGGTCCCACAAAATGTTGTGTGTAGGAAAGTTGTTGTGGTCATGTTAAATTATAGATACAAAACCCTAAATATATTACGTAAAATTTATAAATAATTGAAAAAGTTGCTCAATAATTTCTGCAATACAAATTTCCGGTAGCGGTAAGGTTCAAATGCGAAATAAATAACAGTTTGTTTGCTAATAATCACATTTGAATGGTTTTATTTTCTCTAACAAGTTGATTTTATTCAAAAATAAAAAATGTTCTCACTTTAATTAATTATTTTGATGTTAGCTTTTAAGAAGAGTAAAAATAAATAAAAAATCAAAATATTTGCTCTTTTTAAGTTAAAAATTTTTAACTTCTAAAAAATGTAAAAGTTAGATCAACTTTACTACCATCACCACCGCCTCGGGGGAATCACCACATTTTGTTTTCTTGATTATTATTATTATTGCACTAACCTGCATCTGATTTGCCTTTAAATATTCTTTTTAGTAATTTAAACATAAATATTGTTTTTTAATTTTTTACATTTAAATATATTTTTTTGTTAAAAATACTTTTTAAATACTCCATCTGAATGTATTATAGCATTAGTTTTTTTTTTTTTTTTAAATAATGCATAATTTTTTTCCTTCCATCAAAATGGGTCATAAGGCATGTATATGTTATTGTTATTTTTTTTTTAATAACACCTTACATATATTATTTTATTTTTTAGATTTTTCTATTGGTTATCAATTAATCGGCTAATTCGGTCGATCTATATGTTTGGTGGTATCTTACATATATTATTAGTTGTTAATTCTTCTTGCATATAACGTTTCACATCACTAATAAATTAGAGTCAATATTAATAACATATTTATCTCAAATTAATTAGGATCGACATCACTAAAAAATTAGAGTTATTAAATAAAGATGATAGCAATTGTTAATGATGATGATGATGATGATGATATATATATATATATATATATATATATATATATATATATATTTGAAGTCATTTGAGATATATTTATCTTCGATCATCTCAAAATTACGTTGTTTTGTTTATTTATTTTCTTATATTAATTGTTTTACCTTTGAATGATTATGATTTTTTTTTTCTTTCTTTATCACCACTGATCCATCTTTGTACGATTATGATTTACTGGCCGAAGATAAAGATGTGTGTGTGTGTGAAAAAGTATTTCTATAGCCACTTTAGATAACATCATCTAAAACGAAGACATAGTTATAACGATAAATCTGTTCTTTTTTCTCTCTCTAGACATTCTCGGCTGACACAATGGAGAGAGAAAATACAAATTTTATGTCTTATCGGTCATACTTAGTTAGAAAAGGGTAGCGGTAGATAACCTTATCTAAAGTGACTGTAGAAATGTTTAACCCATATATAACTTGATTATATTATCTTTAAAAACTTAATTATACTTCTGGTTTTTCTATTATGGCTAATGCATAATTTTGATCTTCAATAATTTTGTTTTTCGGATTTAATCTCGTAATTATTTTTTTAAATTATAAAGTTATTTCACAGGTTTCTTTCTACCTAAAAGCCCTAAATTCTTATTTTATATTCAAAGTCTCCATAAAACTAACCCATTAAACTGTCTAAAATCTTTTTTCACTTAAAACACACCAATCAAAACAATCCTTTTCACCAAACATCATAAAATTTAAAAAATTTCCTCTCGAAACTCTAACTTCACTTTTTACAAAATCTTTGAAATATCATCAAAATTTCATCGAATTTTCAAAATCACTCTAATCAATTGTAATCTTAAATTCGTTGTAATACTAATCACTTGAGAAGAAAATGGGAATGCGAGAGTTTTAGATGAAGAAAAACTAACATAAGCGCTCGATTTAGCAATTAAAAATTTGAAGTATTAAATTGGAGTAAAAAATTATTGTAGGACTAGACTCACCCATTAATCATAATAAAAAGACCAAAACTGCAATTATACTAATTTTTTTTTTTTTTTTTGATAACAAATATTTTTTCTATCACAGGAGATAAAGTTATCTCCTGTAGTCCAAAATGACATTTTTTTTGAGATTTGGGATAAAAAATAAGGCTTTAATGTTTTTACAACAAATGCAGATAAGTTTTCTACGTTCATTCTTAAAATGATGTTGTTTTGGACTCTCAGTGCAGATAACATATCTGCATTCACTGCAGAAAAAATAAACCCAAAAAATAAATGGTATTTTAAAAATTTTACTTTCCTTTTGTATTATGAATTTTATTAAAATATCCCATATTATTTTTCCTTAAATCTCAAAACAATATCGTTTGGAAATTGCAGGAAATAATTTAAATCATATGACACGAGAAACATTAATTTTAAGTTGTGTGGCATATTTTCATCTACAGTTCTATTTATTCGTTTTTTATTTGGAAAAATAATTGTTCGCTTTTTTATCCTTACTTTAATTACGTACTCATAAATATATGTATTTATTTTACCGTTACGTCAATCTGCCTCCTTTGTTCTAACTTAGGTCCTTGGAACTGGTTTTCAAAAATGGTTCATCTTTGATACCGGCTGAGTTTTAGCTGGTTGAACTTTTTTGACACGAACTAAAATTATTTTGCTGGCTCCCCCACGGTACTTGAAAATTGTAATCCTAACTCTTAGTTAGCCAAAATTATAAACACTTTTTTTATGAATTGCATGTGGCCAACCAAAAGAAAAAAGAAAAAGAAAAGAAAAACTGTACCTTTAAAAGCGAAAACTGCAGTTTGTTTTTTAATTAGCAGACAATTTTACGTAGCACGTAATACAACATCTCCTCTTATATAAATAAATTTGGTCGCTAGCTAGCTAGCTAGTCGCTTCCCATTCAGCATGCAACATCGACAGCAATAGACAAAACTGAAAACATGCACTCAAAGCACTGAGGGAAAGGTTTTTTTGGACTTTACTGAGTTGTTACTAGCTTTCATTATGAATCATGTCGCTTTCATTTTGTTAATGCTTTCTGATTCACGCGACAGTAGTTCCAACAAAAAGAATATAGTAAATATCGTTTTTAGTCTCTGGCAATATCCATTAAGGCTTTTTCAGTCCCTAACAATAAAAAAAGAACAAATTAATCCCTGAAATTACAAAAAAGAGGCTACGTTGGTCCTTCTGTGAACTCCACCGTAACGGCCCAACTAACGGTGCCTATGTGGCACGTTAGTGTACTGACGCGGCTTGGACGTTGGACAGCGTGGATGAGCAAACAACGACGTTTTGTTGCAAATGGGTTCAGAGCTTTCCAAAGTAGGGCACGACGTCGTTTCTTGCTTTTAGAGTACTCATCAACCACACTGGAATGAACGGTAGTTAGACATCCATATTGCACTTAACTTTTTCAACTTGCAAGGAACCCCATTGTTTACCTCCGAAGCTTGGATGAACGGTGAGCATTGTGGAAGACGGTGGTTTATGGTAAGATAATCGACCCCGGACAGTGAAGGTTGTGGAAAGGTTGGTTCTTTGGTGGTTAAGGAAAGTTCGAGTGTGGGTGTTGTCTTACATGCACTAAGGTACGTGTTGTCAGAAATCCTTCGATATATGTGGTCCCCCTCACTACATGTTGTGTATTTTTTGTTGGATATGGTCCCCCATGTGTGGTCCATTGTCTGTTTATTTGGTTAGGGTTTACAAAAAACATACCCTTTTATGTCTATGGTCCCGGTTTGAAAGTTTTTTGGCATTTTTTAGTGCTAATTTGTGGACCCTGACGTTAGTCCCTGTATTGCATGCATATTTTGTAAAGGTTATTATTTTTTTGCAATTTAATGCCCTGTATGTTTACACGCCAGTGTTGAGTGATATAACCAAATGGCTATTGTTGTTAAAATGTGATTGGTTGTTAACGTTGTGAAGTAACTGTCATGTGGTGTGTTATTTTTTTCAGATGGATGAATATAGAGTGATAAGGTATCATCTTGGGGGTGTGTTAATCAGAGATGATGAAGGGGTCCTAACATATGCAAATGACAAAGTAGTTGACTTACCTGAGATGGATGCTGACTTTGTCAACCTGCGTGACCTTGATACTCTGTTCAAGGGTTATGGGTATGAGAAATGTGATCAGATGTTGTGGCTCATGCCAAACGTAATTGATTTAGACAGTGGTTTAAGGCCTCTGAGTACGGACACTGATATTGTGGAGATGGTTAAGGCTGCATTAAGTAATGGGAACTTCATAGAAATATATTTTGATCATTGCATTTCCATCTCTGATATTATTGCACCTGCACCTGTGGAAGGCAGTGATGAGGATGAGGATAATCTGCATGAGTCATTTGGAAGTGGATCTGATCACATTTCCTCAAGTGATGAAGATGATAGTGGAAATGGTGATGGGTTTTCTACTGACTCAGATGATAGTGTGGAGGATGAGCCATATAAGCCTCCTCCACCAGGGTATGAAGAAGAAACAGAGAGTGAAGAGGAGTTAGAGTTTATAGGTAAGGCTACTGGAAAAAAAAAGTGTAACAAGAAGAAAAAAAAGGTTGTTCAGGAGGTGGCAGGGGAAGATACAATGGAAGAAGAGGAGAAGCAAATGTCTTTCGAGGAGGATGGGTATGGGTATAACTCTGAAGAGTTGAACACTCCTCCTTCAAGTGGTGCTGAGGAGGCTGAAAGGGTTGTCAATCCAAGGTTTAATGTGGATGAGGTGTTTGGTCATGTACACTTAGAGTTGGGGATGGAGTTTGTGAGTTTCCAACACTTTAAAAATGCTGTCAAAAACTACAATATTAGTCTAGGAAGACAATTCAAGTGGGTGAAGAATGACAAAGTCAGAGCCCGAGCCAAGTGTAGTAA